GAAGCCAGCCCTGAGCTTCCATGTGGTGGACAAGACAGATGAGGGTCCTGACCCTGTGGGTTTTACATTTAAGTGGGGGGAGATAGATAACAACCAAACAAACATACAATAACAATAACAGTAGTGTTTTCTACATATGAAGTCATTTACTAAATGAACAAGATAATTTCAGATGTGATAAGTGCCAGGGAGAGATCAAGTCAGGGTGCTAGGTCCACTGAGCCAGGGGCGGGAGTGGGGTCTGGGTGGACTGGAGGGGCTGGTGTTTGAGAGAGACCTGAGTTACCCAAGGGGCAAGAGCAGCTTCCAGGTAGAGGGGCAGCAAAGGCAAAGGCCTTTGGAACAGCCAACCTTGGGTAAGTTATTTAATTGCTCTGATTTTAGTTCTTCATCTTAAAATGGGAATTATAGTGAAAAATGAACACTTGCTGAGTATTTGCTATGTGCCAGGCACTGTTCTAAATGCCTTGAACATATTGACTCATTTAGTTCTCACAATGGCTCTCCAAGATAAGTACCACTGCTATCCCCATTTTACAGATGTGGAAACTGAGGCACAGAGAGGATAAGGACTTGCCAAGGTCGTCAGCTGGTAAGTGGCAGAGTCTGGACTTGAACCCCAGCTGACTAGCTTCAGAGTCCATGCTCTTGCCCACTTGATGTCTCTTCCAGCCCCTTGCAGAGTTATGGTTGTGAACTGTGTGCTGGATGTGTTCCTATACATATTATAGTTTTCTAAGGGGCTCTAGGATCCTCTCTGGCCTTGTTTTACCTAGCCCCCCACTCTCCACACCCCCTTGCCTGTGGGTGGTTGGAGCCAGAGTCTGGGCTCACTGGCTTGTCGTCACCCAGCCATTCTGGGCACATTAATAGGCGTTACCTGGAATGTGACTGGGACAGTGGCAGCCCCTCAGGGAGTTGATGACCATTTTAACACTCACCTGCCAGCTGTCACTCACTCCGAATGCAGGCCCTCCTGGCTCCTTGAAGGCACCCTCCAGGGCCTCACCTTCCAAGCCATTTGAAATGGTGTTTGGGCTTTATGGAGCCCTGATCTCTGTTTATAGAATCTTTATAGAAATGAGGCACCATCAGGGGGAGGAAAGAGGAGGGAGGGAGTGCTGCTTCAGTTTTCAAAGTTATAATGATTCCAGTAATTGAGACACCAAATTGCACATTTTAATATGCTTGAAAGTAAAAATATCGTTTTGTAATGCTGGTGTTAATAATGTAAACATTAGAAAGGAATTAAATACTTAGCTGTATTGTAGGGCACGATTGCCTGATTTTTCTTCTTTCAAATTATTCAACCGGAGGAAATGATTGGCTGCAACACCCAAATATATTACCGTGAAAGGCGGGTCTGGACTTGCTTCGGAGTCGTCAGTCATTTAATGCCCCCAAGTAAAGGTAGCTGGAAGGGTCACGCTTGGCAGTAGATGGCTGTCTTATTCTGGAGGTGAGCTTTTTTTCAAGATACACAGATGTTTGAGGTGTGCTGGGATAGGCCCCAAAGGGGTTCTGAAGTGCACCTTAATATCTCCAAAGTCCTACAGCTCTGTTGAGACATCTTGTCATCTGCCCCCAAATCTGTCTCCCTCCCTTCACTCTGCTCCCTGGTCCATGTCATCTCAGAGAGGCCTTCCGTGGCCCCTGACCCCCAGCTAAAGTAGCAGCCCCGTTACTTTTGGTCCCCTTTTGCCTCAAAACACTCATCACTATTTGACAACAGGTCATGGTGCATGGTAGTCTCTCACTAAATGAATCTGAAGAGAACAGAGGACATCAGAATATAAAACCAGGTCTTCTCGCCCACTTGTTTCCACCCCCAGCCCGGTCCCTATAAGATACTCATCTTGGGGGCTGAGGGAGAAAGGTGAAGGGCAAATCAGGAGCAGCTAGATTTCTGCATTTTGTTGTTGGATCAGCTGTCAAACTTCCTGGCCCGTTTTAAGGCAGCTTAGTAACAGAAGCAGAAGTTTTGAGCAATGAATAATGAAAACGACCCAACCTGGCTGCACATCAGCCTCCCTGGCTGACACTCAACTTGGTATTGTCCCCAGAGCTGCTTTCTCCCCCTCCCCCCACCAATTCTTGGCACCCATGCCTTCATTTTAGTTCTTTTCCTCATCTTCTGTTTTATGTTTTTGGCCACAGAGGATGCAGATTTAAATCAAAAATCAGAAGTTTAGATCATTTTGAAGAGCTGCGGATGAGTGGTCTTGCTTGGCCATTTGTTTTATTAGACTGCTTTCCTGCCCTTTCCAGCATGGTCTAAAAGGCTCCGTGCAGCTGGGAAGAGTGATGGGGCTGCCAGGGTGCTGCCCAGAGGCCCAGGCTTCCTGATGACATTGCAATATGGAGAAGCTATAATAACATTCTGCTCTTTAGCTTTCTCTTCAGTCGCATAGGGGGTACCAGGTGGACAGAGATGGGGCTGAGTGACTGTCTCCCAGGCTGCCCTTGCCCCTCTCCCCGATGGCGAGGCCAGAAGCAGGTTCCTTTCCACATCACCTCTCTTGAGGACCAAGTTAGAGCTCCTGTGGGACAGATAAGGAAACTGAGGTAGGGGAGATGCTAAGCAAATCTACCAGCACTCAATGTATGAGGACATGGCTAGGAGAAGGATGTGGATCGGAACCCGCAGCTCTGGCACAGACAGGCCCCTGCTGTTTTCTCATGCCCCCCACTTGCTCTTTACGTCTCTATTTCTCGCTTCTTAAGTCAGGTATCAATTTTATATGAGGATTATGGAGAAGGAGGTTATAGTAGAGGCTGGGTTCTCATGAAAACCATTTCCTCTTCCTAGGCACACAGTTAAACTACATCTCAGCCCCCTAGCATCTGGTAGGGTCGTGTAACTGATTCTTACCCATGGAACGTGGGTGCGCCTTCTCCATGCTGTCTAACTTGAGCCTTGTGGTTGAAGATGGTGTTGTCACAAGAAGGAAGTCCCTGGATGACTGTGTGGAGCAGAGGCACTCTGCAGACCACATTGGATTGTAATGTTAAGCTACTGATATTTGGATTGTTTATTATAACAGTTAGCCTACTCTAGTACCTGTGTGTTTCTCAGTTTAAAGAAGAAGAGAGCTCCCCAGTCTGGGTAAGGAAGGCGGGCCAGAGGCTCTTATGGTGTTCTAGGCAAGAGGGAGTGGAAGAGGTGGAAGTTTCTGAGGTCCTTTCTGTTCTCATGGTCTAGGGTTTCTCCATATCCATCTTAATCCCTCTCGGTGCCCCTGTATGTCAGCCCCCTGTGACCAACACAGACCACTTGCCGTTCCCTGGGCAGAATGTTTGATTTCCCATTCCCGTGTTTGTCAATCCTTTTCCTGAATCACCTGCCCTTCTTTATCACCTTTCAGACTTGCCTCCCTTTCAAGGCACAGCTCAAACACCACTTCCATGATCACCCAATGTGGCAGTGAGCCCTCACTGCCCTTGCTCTCCTGGGTAGCACTCTGCACAGCTGAGCAAATGGCCCCTACCCCCTGTTGAAGCACCCATGTTGTTTTCATATGAGGGTCTTGACTCTCTCATTAACTCATAAGGTTCTGAAGGATAACATCTTGATCCTCACACTTCCTTGTTTCCTACACAGGTCCTAGCACTGTGCTGTATGCACCAGGCACTCAGAAAATATTTGTCAGATGGAAGGAAGGAAGGAAGTCACAAACAAATAAGCTACTTGACCAGATTTTTAAGTATCTCCACCATCAGGCTCACTCCATTTCTCTTCTCTTCATTTCTACTACTCTCAACCACAAAACAGTCATTCTGAATGGGCTGGTCTGTCCACAGACTCGTGGACTCACCACACTTTTCCATCCCTGCACTCCTTCCCCCGCCACCAACCCCCCAGCCCCTTCCCCACCCCTGTCACCCTTCAGGGCCCAGATGAAATCTCACCTCCTCCAACAGTTTTTGTGAACTCTGCTCTCAGCACACCTCTTCAACTTTAAATTTTAGGATTGCTCATCTGCACCACACAGATTAATCCTCTGTCCCATGGGGTACTGCGTTGTGTGGTTTGTTGTCAGTTCATGTGTGTTATCCTTGATGCCTTAACTAGAATCCAAGTTCCCAAGAGCAGGATCTTCCACAGCGCTTAGCAAAGAGATCAGTGGGGAACAGCTGTTCAGTACAAAGACGCGCTTGCTGATGGCTGGATATCTGGGTCTCCTCACCCCTTTTGTCATTTTTAAGTAAACTCAGGTTGGAGATCAAATATATACACACCCATCATCTCTTCTTTCCATTCCTTCCTGTTCTTCCTCTGTCCAGATTTGCAATAATTGGCTTGGCTCATTCAGCTGAGCTGCTGAATCTGCAAAGCCCATACAAGTTTCCAGACCACGGTGACCCCTCTGAGTCTGGGGGTGCAGAGAATGGTCTAAAACCAGGAGCCAACTGTGTCCCTTGCAACAAACTGCACTTCGGTTGGGGACCTCTTCAGGAGGAGGTGGGAATGCGGCTGGGCCATGAATGATTTATTGAGGGGTAAGAAGGCCTCATGTGAAGGGCACCATGGGGTAAAGGAGTTGCCAAGGGAGGGGCAGCACATGGGCATGAATAAGGAGCCAGCCCACGGAGAGTGGTTCTAGCACAGTTAGCGACGTGGGCGGCCAGCCCTAAAAGACTTAGGCTCCGGCTCAAGGGAAGTCCTGCAACACCTGGGCTGCTAATGATGGAGGAATCAGAAGCTAAGCCAGGAAGCTGGACTCGGTTGATGTGGCAGCAGGTTCTCAAGCAAGGAAGTGGCTCAGAAAAAGCAGTATTTAGGGCACCATGTTGTCATTAGCAAATACTTAGTTTTCGGCTGAGTCCCTTTTACTACCCAACGGGCTTTGGGGCTTTGACTCAACTCTCCCACCATGGGCACCGAGCCTGCAAATTAATTGTGTCATTACCTTGGCCAAACATAATTAGGGAAGTTAACTTGCTTTGAAATCCACATAATATATCACAAAATTAAACACAATTTTTTTTATTGTCGAGGCTATTCTTTATTAGTGTGGATTTTGGAACGTTGATGAGAATTCTGAGAATTCAGAAATTACTTAGTTTTGCATTGTATGAGGTTCAAATGAAAGGACCACTTACTTCTCAGGTCTGGTGCCTGCCTTGTAGATACATGCAAATTTTTTATTAGCCACCATTTCCTACTGGGTTCCCCAAAGGACTGTAGGAAACTGGTGAACTGTTCTTGCTATATACTCTAGTCACCCATAAATTGGAGCTACTATACAGTGTGATGATTAGAATAAGTAAACAGAAAGGGTAATAAAGTCCACCAAATAATCACTGGCGACCTCAGCAATTTTATTAACAAATTTATTTCCCTAATTGGGTAACGAATCTCAGTGCTTGACTCAAGGGCATTGTAATAGGTTTCCACACTGCAGAAGAAGGAATTAATTAGAACTGTTTGCTCTTTGTTCCATATTTACACTTGTCCACTGGTCTTGTAAACATTGCGCCTGGTTTCCTTGGTCCTCCAGGCTCTTCCCTTCTGACACCCTTCCCTCCACCCCCCACCCCCAATAAATAAGTAGAAAGCTGAGGGTGTAGTTTAACATCAGTGGCTCCTCATGCACATTTCACCACCACTGGAAGCTGCATTTCACAGTCAGAATCAGAGCCATTTCGTGGTCAGATTCTGGCAGAATCATTGCTTCCAGTAGGTACTTGGAAGTCTGTAAAGAGACCCTTCTCTCCACAGGCAAAAATGGAGAACCTGAGGTGTTGGTTTCCCAGTGCTGTGTCTGGGATTGTCCTTGTCCATTCAGAACAAGCTGGGAACAAGCTGGTGAGATGGGCAGATCTGTCCCACTTCATCCTGCCCCTCTTACAGTGCCTCCTAGGAAGGTAAGAGGCGTGCATTAGCTCTGTCTGCCCGCAGGAATGGGCACCCCCTGCAAGCGAAACCCATGAACTATGAACTCACTCTTCAAGACTTTTTCAAGTAAGTTTTTTTTTTGCCTCTCAACTTGTAAGGACTGTAGCATGACAACAAGAAAGCATTTTTAAATGCAAATACTCCAGATTCTTACTGTAATGCTGGTCTGTAGCTTACGCTGCACGCCCCCAGTGAATTCCATGGTGGTGCCATTTCGAACTGATTGTCCAGTCTGTGAAGACTGGTGTTAGCACCAGATGCCAGCTGTGTGAATTATCTCCAGTGCTGGTTTCTTTAGCAGCTATTAACATAGCTTGCCATGTACAGTGATGGCTTTTATACGAAATGTGATTATTACAAAGACATTTAAGGGGTATCTAGATGACCCTTGCTACCAATAGGTCCCTTTTAAGATCCAGACTCCAGAAGAATCTGGATGGGCCCAACATGTCTCATTCTCCCTCCTGGATATCCCGCAGGATCTGGATGAGGTTTTCCAGGCCAAAAATATAGCCCGGATCTGGTCCGTCATAGGTGGTGTGCTCATTCCAGGAGCCTCTGTATGTCGTGTGAGCAAAGTCGATCATCCGGATGTCCACCTTGGTGAGACTTCCAGGAGAGCTGCCGTGGGCTATCTGCGGAGCCTCTCGAGGGTGCGGGCCGCCCAGGTTTCCTTCTAGTTGCTCCTGCCCGTCGTAGATGATGAGGAGAGAGCTGGAGTAGAACCGGTACGAGCTCTGGCTCCTGATGACCGAGAGGAGGGCCCGGAGCTGGCGCTGGATGGGCTCCAGCAGCTCTGTCCGGAGGCAGGTTCCATTGTGTAGGAACTGATAGAGGGCTTGTCTGAACCCCTCGACTGAGAGTTTCCTTCCATAGTACTTGTCTTTGCAGAGAAAGTGCTTTTTATCAGTTTGATAAACCTTATGTTAAGAAGGAAGAGAAAATGTGAAGAATTAAAAACAACAAAAAAAATTGCATCTGCTGCAGTTGCAGCGTCACAAACGAACATAATATATAAACAGATTTCCAGGAGACGCAGGGCAAGAATGGCTGACATAAACAGAACGATGATCTTTCATCATGCACCTTTTAGCGTTTACATTTTAAAATGCTTTCTGTGTAAACCTCTAATAGGAACCCAAGGTCGAAAGGTCCTTCACCCTACAGAGGTGGCCCCCCACCCAAAAAGGTTGGATCTCCTTTCTTGTGAATTTCCAACGTTAACCTCCAAATCATGATTTAAACCCTGGCTTCTGGCCCTCTTCAATTCAAATCTTAGGAAACGCAAGCCAGAAAGCTTTAGTAAGAATCTGAAATCACAGGCAATGGCCTTGGAGAGCCAACTAGATTAAATTTTCCCCAACAAAGTTTATAAAGTTCTTTCTCTGCAGATTCTAGGGGAAAAAATAATGGCTCTTGGAGTAGAGTGGGATGAATTGTTTGAAGATAAAAAGACAGGCTAGATCAGGTGTAGATGGAGTGCTTGGGCAGCCAGTGCAGCTGAGAGGAGCCTGGCTAGAAGAGGGAGGTTCACAGCAGCTCCAGGGGCTAGTGGCTCCTGTCCTTGGCACTGGCTCCCCTCCCCTCCCCTGTCATGTCTTGGCCACCAGAAGGGAGCAGATGGAAGAGAGATACTGATGGGGGGGACAGTGGCAGCCGCCCCCTTTTCATTCAGATGGCACAGGCAGCAGCAGAGGCTGAACTGAGGCCAACAGCTGGCATGGCCAGAGACTGACTTGGCACACCTCTGCCCGGAACACCTGGGAAGGGCTGCCTGTACCTGGCCAAGACAGTTTCTCAGTCCTTTCCTGCCTTCAGATTATATGATGTTTATGAAAACCAGTGTTGAAAAAAATCAGAAAGATATGAGAGACTTGGTGTTGCCTTTGGAGGGCTGGAGATCGGCTGCTAAATTAGCCATCATAAATACATGACAGGCTTCACTTTCTAAATAAATCAGATCAATTTCAGAAGGTTTTAGGTCCAGAGAGAGATTCCATTTACACCACAAATCATCACACTTCATTCTCTTGAGGACTGCATTCCAAGCCTTTCAAGGGACATCTGTGCAACAAATTTATAGACTCAACTTCCAGCTTCAAGGGGTGGCAGTTTCAATTAAGGAAGCTATAACGTTTACCGTCAAATCGGTGTCTGATTTTGCTTTGAGTAGACAGACTATAAAGAGTGAACGAATGGTAAAAGTTTATTTCCTCCTGTTCTTCTACAGCCCCTGCCACGTCAGAGCAGCAAAAACAAAACGTGGAGTCTGGCAAGAAAAATTAACCATTCCTTTGCCTGGGCTTAGCAGGTTACGACCTTCCCACATTGTTAACCAGAACAGGTAGCAAGAAGCAGCAAAGGTGAAGCAAGGAGAATGGCTAATAAGAATTCAGAGACAGGCCGCCTTACAGCATCTGAGGAGGAGTTCCACTTTATCATTCGGAGAATGCAGAGTGCCCAGAGAAACTCTTTGGTTTAGTTCTTTCCCCAGCCCCTGCTTACACTGTCATCAAAGCTCTGCTCTCAACATAACAGGACCCACGTGGCCACAGGAAAGTTTCGACTGCTAAAGACCCTGAGACCAAGTTGAAAAATGGTGGGGTTTTGATACCACTACCCTGAAAGGTGCTCTTTAAAAAACCCAGTGTGTCATAGACCAGGATGTGCATTTCCTTGGTGGAAGGTCGGTGCCTGGCCACCTCCCCCACAGCGAGGAGCTCTGCAGGGGGCAGTGGTGTCTGGATGAGGGACACCCTGGGCCACAGTGGACATACCAGGATGCCCAGCCCTGAGTGGGCCCTCTGCCACCCACCTGCATGCCGCAGATACGCACGCCCAGGCAGGCTGAGGTGCTCTGTGCGCACTTCATCATGTGCCGGGCCTTCTTCTCCTCAGACGCGTCATCTCCATGCTGCCGGGTCCCCATCTTCAGGTCCAGGATACAGGGATGCTTGTACTGTGACACGACGTTTTCTAGCAACAAGAACCCTGGTCACGCTCAGTTAAGGTGGACTCTGAGAACATGAAGGCTGCTGACTGCAGGAGGCAGGCAGCACAGCTCTGAAGTAGGCTGGAGGCTACCTGCTCTGAACGCTGTCCCTTCCCTCCTGTTTCTGTCATTACAGACAAGCCCATCGTCATGGTTAAGAATTCCGGGTAGCAGCTTTGCAGGCTGCTGTCATAAGTCCATTTATTTAGGGGGAGTTTGTGAGTACGCAAGCTTCTTTTCATTTTTGCTCTGAGGTTGAAATTTAAATGTAGGTCTGAAACCCCTGGCAGGCCTTGCCCAATTTACATGTCATGGCAGAAAATCCTAAGACTAAAATCTCAAGTCACTGAATGGGCCAGTACTTTTTGGGAGAAGTGGGTTGAAGTTAACTTCGGAAGTGAGTTGCAGGAATATTAATTTCAGTGCAGTAGTTATCCTGCAAAAACTTCTTAGGGACTAAAGTTACAGATGTGTCTTAGTAAATACTGTGAAACTAGCCACCCCTTTGTAGGAGCCCCGTGGTGACAAACGGGTGTTTCAAGCCTAAATTTGCTCCCTGAGACTATGGCAGCCTGAGGGGTTGGCGTCTACCTGTGGGCACTTCCTTAAGAGAGGAGCCACGCCCCTTTCTCCCATCAGCTCTGTGGGAAGACCCCTGTGGAGAGAATTTGGAGAGATACAAGGGAGACTGGGGTGCTGGGTGACCACCCCCACCCAATGTGGCAGTCGTCATTTGTATCTGCCCACAGAGACCCACCACCCAGTCCATCCTTACTGCCCAGGTAGCAGTGACATAGCCAGTGACCCAACAGGGGCACTGTATTCAGCTTAATTCCCAGTCTGACTTCCCTAAAATCTCTGTTTTTTCTGTTGGAGAGAACTGATTTCTCCTAGGTCCCGGGTTTGAGGGCTCCTGCCTCCAACTCGCCCTCACTTCTGTCTGCCTCTCCCCACCTACCCCTCACATGACCCTCCTTTTTCCACCCCTGCCCCTATATGTCTCTTTGTCTCTGTCACTCTCCCGTCCTGTCCTCCCTCCCCCTCTCGGGGCACCTTCCTACCCTTGAGCCTGTGTGGTGGGGAGGGCAGGCAAGGATACGGTGCCGCTTGTTCTCCGGGTACTCTGTGCACAGGCGGGTCAGGTGGGCCTGGTGGCAGTGCAGGCCCCACGGGTTAAAGCTCCTCCTCTCGGCCTGGTTCCCATTAGCATCTTCCAACAGGGAGGTCACGTGGGTGCTGAGGTGGAACTCGGACCTCAGGAGAGCTGTGGCCGGGCTGCAGGGGAGGAAAGCATAGGACAGTCAGAGTAGCCAGGGCCAGAGGTCTGGGGAAAGGCGCCCGTCCCTGTGACTGTGCTTTCCTGGCCTGGACTCTGACACGGACTGTCCCTGGCAACTCTCCAGGACACCAGCATGGCCTCAGAGTGCCCTTCCTGCCCCCCTCAGGCCCGGGCACCATATCAGGCCACACTGCAGCGCTGGGGGTGGGGGAACCTAAACTCAGATGAACTCATTAGAGCACGTCAGCCCCTCAGAGGGCTAAGGTGGTTTACATTCACTTGTAAGTGAGCTGGATTATTATCTCATCACTACTGAGGGAACAGCATGGGGGCAGCAACTCCACGGGGAGTCAGAAGGCTGGGGGTTAGGCTGTTACCCTTGAGACCTCAAAAGGCCATAGTGGGTGGGAATCACAGATTCTTGGTCCCCCTCTCTCCTGCCCTCTGCGTCTTGGCTTTTCCATCTGCGAAATGGAGACAATGTGCGCCTGCTTCTTGACGCCGAGCCAAGAGGCTTAATTAGATCTGCGTGCTCCTTGGGGAAGGGAGGTTCTTTCATTGTATTAGCTCCCTTTTCTTTCCCATACATTTTTTTAGAAATTCCCAGGGATCCTTTTCATCTGAAAAAGGCCAGCTGACATTGTCAGAGGTTTTGGAGACCTCTCCAGGGCCCACGGTGCCCTCAGCCACCGCACCACCGGGCCCACACAGTGTTGGGTCTGCCTCTCTCCTCATTCCTCTCAACTGCTCAGAAAGCGATTTCTGAGAGACGTTAGCCACTTTTCTACATGTCAACTATTCTGGGGTTTCTGTTCTACACACTTCACCCCAGAGACACTTCATGGTCTCAGTGAAATAGGTATTTAATTAAACAAATGTGTGCCAAATGCCTGCTCTGCTGTATAGGGCTCTGCATGTATATCGACGTCTGAGATAAATGCATCACAGTCCTCCCCTTAGAAGTGGCACAAAGAAGATACATTCCTTGCTTTGGTCACATTGGTTATTCTAGACAGAGCCTTCATCTGAATTTCTCATTTGTTCCACCCCAGCCTTCATGGGGAGCCATTGGCCTTAGCACAGGTGGGAGCAGTGCTGGTTCCTGCTAGGGAAGAGCTCCCAGTGTCTGTCATCCTGCCAGATGGCCCTCACCTCTCCTTGAGCGAGTGTGTCAGCTGAGCGTGCTGCCACTGGGAGAGGGGACGGGTGCCGCCACTGCTGGTGGTGGTCTGCTGGAGCGTCTGCCATATTGCCACGGCTGCCGACTCTGTGGAGACCTTGAAGGGCTCCTGGTTCTCCTTCAGTGGGATGGCAACCAGGCTGAGATGGCCAAGGCTGTCTTTTTGGAGGTGCACCGTGATGGTCCCTGCAGAGCACATGAGGGAGGGGAGGGACGGAGAAACCAGATGGAATTTACCTGATTGGACACGTTGCAATTAGTGACCTCCTTATGAAGTGCAGTTTAATGGCAATAGCCAACCTTCCCTTTTCCCCAACTCCTCTCTCAAGGAAGGGCTATGGGGACTGGCCTGGGTTAGCCAGAACTCAACCTGTTCCAGAATGAGCCCAGAGCCGTGGAGCCTGCAGAAAATAGCTTTGGGCTGATCTTGGCACAGCCTCTGCTTTATCGCATTTCTCTGACCCTTCATGCTTTAAACAAAGCTAGCCCTGTACATTTTGTTCTTGCATTCCAGTTCCTTTGTGCACAGTCACACCTTCCCAGTCACACCACAGCTGCCCCAGCTGCGTCCAACCTTGGGGCATCAGAGCTGCTCTTCTGCAAAAAGGAGCCCCCACCTTAGAGTGGTAATGAGGGCAGTTGGGGCCCATCCATTCCTCCCCCTTGTCCTTTGCCTCCTCTATCATCCTTTCTGTCCCCTCCATTTGTCTGTATCTGACCTGTTTCTTCCAGACAGCCTCTGTAGACAGCCTGCTGGGGCTCAGGACTCTGTCACTCTTTCATCCACCCTCCCCCATCTCTGGCTTTAACACTGATTCTTGCTATTTCCTTTGGTTAGATTCCTGGCATGTGAAGATTATTGGCAGAACATGGCTCGTTGATATAAAAAGACCTGTGAGATTTCCCCAACTTGAGTACTTTTGAACCACTGGTGTTTGTAATCAAGGCACAACACCCTGCTCCAGCTTGTGAATGTGAAGAGTGCAGGGAAACCCAATGGACAGATGTGCTAAATGGGCTTCTCCTCCAGGACGTCGGCTGATCCGGTCATTAGCCCTGGAGAGACATTCATGGCTCTGAGGCCACCCCCTTTGGATTTCTGACTCAGGTGGCAGAGTTCAGGCCTTCCTTCCTGGGGCTCAGCCACCCCAGAGTTCTGGCGAAGAGAGAACGATACTCTTGGTAGTGGCACAAGAGACTGCCACCCAAATGGTTTTGTGAGAACCAGGTCTCAGAGTACTTGGTTTCCTGTTCGTCTGGCCCCTAAGCTGTGTTTTCTGTTTGCTCCCTCCCCAACCAGCCTGCTCTCCACCCGTGTCCACCATGCTTTTGCCTAAGATGCCGACTATATGGAGTGCACCAGTGGTTTCCTTGCCCTGTGGTCCCCAGTGGGTTTGGCCAGTGGGGGGACACTGGCAGATGAGATGGGGAGAAAGATCGGGTGTTGATCCCGCTGGTTCCCTCCCTGTGCAATGTGGCGCTGCCGTGGCTGTGTTCCTCTATGGCCTCCCTCTTTCTGGGCCAGTTATTGCATCCCCTCATTTGGGCCTTTCAGGCCTAGGGGTGGTTACAGCTTTCCAGCACTGCTGGTCCCTGGTGCCTCACTATGTCCAATTGTTCCCTTAATCCTCCATGCACTTATGCAAATAGTTCCTTTAAAAAGCTCTCTTCATTTGAACCCTTTTGCATGTACCTCTCATTTTCTGCTGGGACCCAGACTGAGAGGGTGGGTGGCCTGTGATCATGTCCTCCAAGATATTTATTTCCTCCCGGCTACTTTTTCACCTCAGCGTAAGTGGAAATTTCTGCTGAACAAGCACTCAAGGCAGCTGATATCCTGCTTGGGTCCTGCCCGCTGCCCCGGGGCTGGTCAGTGCACACACTTATTTTCGGGGCTGCTCTATAATTCAGCAGGTCGCTCTTCAGAGCCATTGGTGCCTAGCTCAGCGGTCTCCCTGGGCCAGTCCTGTCATCTCAGATTCTCAGTGCCTTAATTTTGCAGCCTAAGAGTGACATTCAGTTTCTCCATCTCCTAAAAACTCTGCTTTTCCTCAGCTCATCCCAGGCCCCTGTGTCCTGTAAAGTAATAATGATACTAACGAAAATACAGCCCCTGAACCTGACATTTATGTTTTACCTGAAGACCCCTAACTCAGCCCACTGGAGATGGTCTGCTCATGAGAGCAGGGGCTGATTGACAGTCGGCCAGGGAAATACTACACTAGTGATCGTCACTGCCATGTCTTTCACACCTACTAGGAGCCAGTATTATGTGCCTTTCATCTGTTACTGCTGCATTGTAGCAAGCCTGACTGTGGTCAGTGGGGCTCAGTGAAATCGAATAACTTGCCCAAGGGCACACAGTAAGAGGCGGAGGTCTGAGAAGGCCACGCCAGACATAGATGTGGAGGAAGGAACAGGTTGCCACATGGAGCGGAGGACTTTATCGGGATACTATGTTGTCACTCTATGTTTACCCGTCTGTGAATGAGGACACCCCTCCTGTGTCCCCAGTCATGTTTGTTCTGACCATTCTGTTTCGTGGAGCAAACAAGCAGTGATCCCACCGTCCTGTATGAGAGTCACTGGTGCAGGAGCTGGGAGGGCCAGGAAACCCACAGACGTGGGGTTTGTATTTTCAGCCCTGTTTCCTTGGGTGGGAGGGTTGCTCTGCTTGTTCTAGGGAGGGGCACTGACCTGGAAACCACTGCCGGGCCATAGAGTCCACCCTCCATGTGCAAGAAGTGGGAGAGCTCGCTGGCCTCTGTGATCATCCTTGGGGTGCTCGGAGCCTCCTGGCTGCCTGGGGAGCCCAGGAAGGTGTGCTGCCAAGGACAAGCCCCTTCGGGATCTTGTAAAGTTCAAGTTACCATCCTGTGGCCCAATCATGAGGCTGTGGTGATAGCCCTACCAGAAACTAGGGTCTCGGGATTCTGGGCCTAGGAGGCCTCCCTGGAAGGACAAGAAATGTGACTTTCTCTTACTTCTCTGGGCTCCAGCTCTTCTCTGATCTCATCTGTTCTGAGTGTCTAAAATAAATGGAGGCGAGCATAGGTGCAAATAATCCAAAACCAATAAAATCCAAAAGTCGTTTCTATTTCTCATATTGTCAGAGCTACACAGCCAGCCTCTGTGTCCCTGCCTTCTCGCTCTGTCTTCCTGCGAGCCTCTTACGCTCTCTGTGTCTCCGTCTAATCTGTCTTCCCTCCCTCTCCCACATGCCCCTCAACGCCTCAGCCCAGCTCTTCCCTTGGAAGCCTGGGACCCAGCACAGATAGGGCCTTACAAACAGTCTTGAGCTGCCTGCTCTTGACAGGAGCAGCATGTCAGTGGAACCCAGACTGCCAGGGGCTTGGATGGCTCTTTTTGTCAGGAGCCATGTTGGCCCCGACCTGGCCTCCAGCTTGCCCTGTGTGTCCATGGGGACTGGGCCTCGGAGGCCCATGGGCTCTCAGCACCCTGCTGCCCCTGCCTGGCCAGGACAGTGGGACCCAGCGAGAGCCCCTGTTGCCTGCTCACCAGCCCTCCCCCAGCACCTCAACCTGTCACCATGCCAGCTGGGCAGATAAGAGTGCTTACTGCTGTGATTGACACGCCAGAGCGTCTCAGCAATTTTGGTTTAGCTGAGCAGTTTCCTCAGCCTCTGTGAATATTCTGTCTTGTATTTATTTTTAAACTCATGAGAGTATTTATTTGCCACCGTCTGTAACATGAATCTGGCTCATCCGTTAACCAACTGGACCTAGGAGCATGTCCTCACTCACCCAAAGCTGGCAGGCAGCTTGGGAGGTAGGGGGACTCGGCCCCAAGGCGCTGTCATACCTAAGGAGCCCAGCAAAAGGTACAGGGTGAGCTCCTGGCTCAGGGAGGCTGCCCTTGGGAATGACATCCCTGCCCGACACCCCCTGAGGCCATCACAGTGCAGGCTGGTGAGCAGGGAGAGGGTGTGCTCCGAGGTATTCCGTGACCACTTCAGAAACAGCCCTTCTTTCTGGGGCTGCTCCTGTCAGGGAGAAAATGGGAGACCCCTTTTTCTAAAGGCACTACAGTCCCCCTGACCTGAGGTCACGTCCCCTCCATCATTAGGCTAGATGCCCCCCTGAGCACTGGCATCTGAGGCATCGTCTCTTCAGTAACAGTAGCTGGTGGAGCCAAAAGCCACGCTTGGGAGCTAGACCTTGGCTGTGTGGCCTGAGGCAAACCAGGCGACCTCTCTGTGCCTCAGTTTCCTTACATGTGAAATGGGGATAATAATAGTCCCCACCTCAGTGGGTTGTGAGGTTTAAGTGAGTTCATACACAGAAACTATTGGGTTGTCAGAAAAGTCATGACACATTTTTGCAATGAAAAACATAGAAAAAATACATCATGACAACAGTTAGTTGTGTTTGGCATAGAGGGGAAGCTAAGGGTTAACTGATGTTACTTTTGTTATCCGGTGAAACAAGAAGCCTGCACAGCCTGCGAGCCCTTTGAGGGCTCCTTTCCCACCTAACACCTGACCTCAGCTACCTGCCCCAGGCGCCTGAGAGTTTGAGGGCCCCAGATCTGGCCCTTATAGTGTCTCTGTGGACGTGCGTTTCCTTGGGTGGTGCCTGGATTGTGGCCAGTGAGTGAATCAGCGTATCAGTGTTTCTGCATCATTGGAATCTTATGTTTGGTGCCCCAGCCCAGGGACTCTGCCTCACCCTCACCCTCAGCAGGGCAGTGTGGTCTCACCTTGGGGGAAGGGGGGTACGGGGGGTGGTGGAGGGCCAGGAAGATATGGGGTTCCCTGACACAGTTATTGGGAAACACGATCTCCTGAGTGAAGCCCGGAGGCAGAAACTGAAGTGTACCTTGTCGGCTGTTGATGCGTGTGGCTGTGACGCCTTGGCTCAAATTTATCACCTTAGCAGAGCCCCAAGGTGGCTGGCATGGGGATGGACCCAAGCTGAAGGGGGAAGCAGAGCAGAGTAGGGATCTGGACAGTAGACCGTTGCCTGAGAGTGATGCTGTCCTACCCCTAAAGGAATGGGCATTGTGCAGACAGGGCTCAGCGAGGGCACCAGGGTGGGGCCCTGGAGACCCAGCAGCGCCTTTCGCGTCCCTGCTTTGCCTGCACCTGCCCTGGCTATCTGTCTCAGCTCCAGAGCTGTGTGGAACAAGTGTGAAATGCTGCAGGCAGGAGTCCACCCCATGCAAGGACCACGCTGGGTTGAGTTCAGTGCAAAAGGACAGACGTTAATTCCAGTGGGTGCTCTGACAAAATGGGCAGTGACTCACAAGTGATGAGCAACATTGGACTGGGCCCCCAGGAGGCCCCAGGGGAGGCCTGACGGACTGTCCTCCAGCCATCGGCCCCTACTTCTCTGTCTAATGCTCATCTATTCTGTCTCAGACCCTCAGGAAGGCCTGGCATACTGGGACGGAAGCAGTGCCCAGGGCTCAGGCCTTGGCCTCCTACCAGTGGGTCTCAGTTTGTAGCATGCAGAATACAGATTCCTGGGACCTGACACCAGGGATTCTGATTCCCAGGTCTGGGATGGGGCCTGGGAACCTGCACGCGCGCGCGCGCGCGCGCACACACACACACACACACACACACACACACACACACACACACACCCAGCGATTCTGATAAAGTTGGTTGATCCCAGATCACACTTAGAAAAATATCCATGTAGATAGCCCCGTCCTTCCCAGTTATCTCAATCATTGAAATGCAAGTGAGTTTTTGACTGACTTGTTTGGATGTTATCACCACCTGCACTACAGATACTTGGACATGGAGGGCAGCAGCTTGCAGTCACGACACCTATAATAAAATCCTTAAAGGAGGTCTTTTCTCAGAGCACTCGTGCCATTGTGTGGCTGGCGGCTGGCAGAGCCCTGTAAACTGCATTTGCCGAAGGCTGGGTATGGACAAAACAACCCAGAGGCCCTGCCTGGAGGCCGCTATGGGCAGCCCTCCCCACCAGCCTTCTTTGCCCAGAACCCCCCTTGTGCTTACATCAGAACACACTGCTCTGTGTCCATTTCCCCAGCTACACCTGGAAGGCAGCCCAGTCCTCTGTCCTCGCTGCTGGATGAGGGCAGGAATTTTGGTTTCCTAAACCTGCCATGTCGCAGCTCCTCCATGTCCTGTCACAGGCCTGAGGCTCCCGCCACCCACCTGGGTCTCTAGAGGGAGGTGTCCTGTGTTTACCGGTTACAGTCACCCAGCCATCGCACTCCCAAAGCACAGGCCACAATGTCCCATTTATTCCATTTCTCAATTCCTCGAAGCCTGGTGACTTGAGCTAATTTGTAACGACTCCAAATGCTATTATACTCCAGACCTGGAAGCTTGAAGAGTTCAGAGAAACTAGGACAGTGAAGGCCAGCCGGGCTGTAGGAGAGGGGTGTGTCTCCATGGCAACCGTCACACACACTGCAGTGCTCAAGGAAGCGGTGGGTGCATGCAGACGAGCCTGGTCTAGTGTGGCGGCCCGAGCCGCGCGTGCCGCCGGACACTCACCTTTGTACTGCGGGGTGAACTGCTTCATGGCTAGGGGCAGGGATTCGTAGAACCTCTGCTCCCGGGAGACGAGGGGCTTGCAAACAGTGTCCTCGTCATACTTCATCACACTCAGGTGCCCCCCAACCTGGTGCAGGAAGGGCTCCAGTTGCACTCTTACACCGGCGTCCCCGGCATCTGCACTGTTCTGCACAACCATGGCCTGATGTAGAAGTAGCAGCTGCAGAACAGAAGACAGGGCTGTCAGGTCCTCGGTTTTCTCCCTGGCCTTTTCTGTTGTCATAGCATAGTTGTCTTCCCAGCCGTGGGCTCTCGGCGGGGTCCCTGGAAAGCAGAGGAGGAAGGTGGGCATGATGGGAGAGAGACAGTGTGCTGGGGGCAGCACTCAGGAGGACCCACGGTCCCCAGCCACGACCCAGCGGTAGTTAAACAAGACTGTAAACAGGCATCGATTACTTCTGGAATAATCTGTTACAAGAAACTAGTAACAGTGGTTGCCTCCGGGGAGCAGGGCCTTTTTTCTAAATACAGTTTTGTACCTTTTACATTTAAATATTCAAACATTTTTAAAAATCAAACAATATACACAACCGTAGGCTTCCAGAGTGCAGAGGCTGTGCCTTCGCTTCTCATGTCATGTTGCCTGCCTGTCGGGGGGAACACTGATCCCAAGCCCGAGAAGCAAGCAGAGTCCCGCCTGTTGGGGCCCTCAGCATCTAACAGGAGCTTGGGGTACAGGAAAGCTTCATTTTTGTATAGCATAGCTGTGCCCATAAGTCTGCGTCATGGCTCCACGACATAATTGCTATGTGACCTTGGGAAGTTACTAAACCTCCCTTAGCCTCAGTGTCCCTGTCTGTGGAATGGAATAATAATGACACCTACCTCATGGAGTTAGAGACAGAATTGAGATAAAGTCTGTGAAAAGGTTAGCTCAGGGCCCAGAGCTAAGCACTCAATAAATGTGATTTACCATTGTTTCTGGCATTATTGCCTTGGTGGGTCTTATTTTCCCAACAGCTCTGGGTTGTAGGGAAGGCAAGCTTTCTCACCGCCATTTGCAAATGAGGAAAAAGCGAGACCTGAAATGCCCTGCCTGGGCCGGTGGGCCTAGGAACAGAGGCAAAAGTCAAGCGGGGCTCCTTGTCTCTGGGCCTCGTCTTCCGCTGCCTGCTGTTCCCTTTTCCTCCCAAAGGGTGGGCTCGCTGGACCCCAGGCAATTGCTGGGGCTCTGGGCTGGAAATGCAGCTTCTAAAGACGTCCTGACTTTGTCTCAGGAGAGTGCCAAGGAGACACTGCAAGGGAGGCTCATCTGGCCATATTTGTCGTGTCTGAGAGGACATTCCCACAGGGGTGCCCGTCACCACCAGGTTATTAATACTCTCTTCTGCTGGACTCCCAGCTGAGGATGTGACTAGGCTGAGCAGCGCTGGGCATGATAAACCCTCTAAATGACCTTCAGTCCAGACCATGGGCATGGCCGGCTGGCTCCATGCATCAATTTGTTCAGGAACGTGGCTCAGAGAAGCGCCTGCCACCCGCCCAGACCTCTAGCACCAGGTGGCATTGAAAGCCTCAGCCCAGGCTCACTCGTTCCCTCCCTGGGGGACTCTCCTACACTGGCTACTGTTCTGAAGGCCACAGAGTGCCCCTTGGCAGGGGGAAGGGGGTGTCCTGCCTAGTTTGTGCATTTGCTTTGCCGGATGCAGAGTGAGACTTCTGGGAGCTGCCTGCATGGCTAAAGCATGGCTGGGGTGGGGGAGTGGGGAGATTGTGGGTGGGGAGGCCGGAGGCCTGATGGTGAGGGGCCTGTGCCTGAGACTATAGCCCAGGCCTTTCCCCAGCTCTGCTCTAAGACCTCACAGAGCTGAGCCCTCCGGTCCCGGGAGCTGAGAAATGAAGTTGGTGGGAGGCACCCAGATGCATTGGGAAATCAGAAATCAGCCCAAGGACGACTTGATGTCACAGTTGCTTGGCAAACCCAACCCTATTTGCAAATTTGGCAGAGGCTCCAAGGAAGAAAGAAGAGAAAAACCAGAGTGGCCCCAAACCACTCCTCTCTCTGGATTCGCTTGTATGTCGGCATTTGCCAGCTGACCTGTCTGTCCCTGGGGCGAGGGGGAGGCAGAGGCTCTTCTGGTAATTAGAGGGCCAGCCAGGTTGTAGAGTTCATGGATAGGCACTCCTGGAAGGCGCCTGGGCCCTGTCCCTCACACTTGTCTCCCTAGGGCCAGGCCCAGCACTAACCAGGCCTGGCCTTGCCGAGCGAGCCCAGCTCCGCCGACGGCCGAGCAGTATCGCGGCAGGCCCTCATGCCCGCGCACTAGGCACTCCACTGACATCCTCCCCCCACACCCCCTGACTCCATAAGGAGCTCTAGGGACATGGATGTCACCTCACAATGACAGCAGGGAAGGAAATAATAAATGGAACCATCATGTTGTGCTTGCCGTGTGTAAGGCAATGTTCTAGGTGCTTTATATGAGTACGGATGCACACATCTAAGCCTCACAACTACCCTGTGAGGCAGTATTATCAGCCCATTTACACACAAGGAAAAGGAGGCACAGAGAGGTTAAGTTACTTGCCTGTGTGCACCCAGCTAGTGTGGGGAGAGCAGGCATACATTTGAACATTAGCCCCAGAGTGTGCATATCACTACGCGGTGGGGAGGCTGAGGGCCCTCGTTTATCTACTACCTTGAGAGTCAGGAATTTGGGCCTCAAGGAGGCTGGGTCTTGACCAAAGTGACCTACAAGTCAGGCTGTGCTGGGGCAGGACCCAGGTTGACAGTGAGTGCATGTCCTAGTGGCGGGTGGGCTCCATACCTCAGAAACCATCAGCGGGTGTCAGGGAAGGCCCACCTACAGCTGGGGCTTGTCACTGACCTCAGGGCTTTCTGGCTGGGGATGTCAACCAGACCTGAGAGGCACTGTCATTCACAGATGCTCTCAGGAGCCCTGGCTGAACCTTCTCAGAGAGCACGGAGCGAGCCACAATGACCCCGGGCCTGCAAGACAGCTCACAGCAGTGTTACAAACTCTTCTGCCCTTAGACTTGGGATGGGTTGGTAGTGATGGGGTGTCGCTGGGTAGTCACCCTGGGGAAACTGAGGCTCTTCCTCTCAAGGGTCATCTTAGGGTGGGTATTGTGTGACCTCTCAGACTCCTCCCACTCCTGAGTTGTGTGGCTTCAGTTCTGAAACAGGATGGTGGAAAGGGGCGGGGGAGGGCAGATGGACAGTGGCTTCAGTAGCCTGAGCACCTACCTGAGCTGGGCAGGTGGGCTCTGCAGCTGCTCAGGGAGGCATTCTGTGGCCTCCACTTGGCACTGACACTCACCTTGGATTCCCAAGGAAGCTTGAGGTTTCTCATCTGTTGCTGTCTTTGTGTGCAGCCTCCTGCTTTGTGGGACAAAGCCAGGGAAGGCCTCCATTCTTCCCATCCCTCCCTCAGATGTCCCAAATAAATAACTCCACTTGACAGACCTTTCTTAGCCCAGACCTTCCTTTCGCCACATGCAGGCTCTTCTGTTATTGCCATGGGCCTTGGCCTTTCATCAATGCCTCTGGGCCCCATTTCTGTTTCCTAAGAGCACTGGGCAAGGAGACAGGAGCCCAGGTCCGTTTCAGCTGTTCCAGCAGCTTGCTGACCCCCTGACACGCACTGGGTCTTGGTTTCCCACCCACTGCCACAGCCTCGCCATGATGCTCAGATGACAGAAGGCACAGCACTCCTCTGTGGAGGCCTCTTCCCAAGCGCCTCCTTCACAGGGTTTATCACTGTGTGGATGATTCTCAGGACTGACTCAGCTTGGGTGCCGGGAAGGCAGGTGGGGCGCTCGCCTGAGACAGGACCTCACGCCTCCTCTGACACACTTGCTGAATACCCTGGGCTCCCGTTAGTGTTCCAAAGGGAGACAAATGTCTCTGTCTCCAGCCCACGCCTCCTCCCACAGTCCCACAGCCAGACTCCAGAGCCAGCATCCTTCCTAGTGCTTCTTGGGGAGAGAGGGAGTAAGGATGGGAGGAGAGGGGGCGGAAGAGGTGAGATGCCTCCCAGCTAGAAGAGCTCAGCTTAAAGGCCCCTCCCCCAGGAAGGGTAGACATAGGGCCCCGGGTCTGTGTCTTCCTGCCCTGTCACTGGGTTACGTCCTGGGTGACGAAACTCTGGGCCTCGCCCCAGGAGGTTCAAAGGCTATTTCTCTGACGGGGCCCGGCCATTGAGCTGGTTGTTAAACAAGGCCCTGGGCCGTCTGTGTCAGTGCAGCCCTGCGGGGCCTGAGTGGCAGCCAGCCTGCTGCTGGGTTACAAGACACTCCCTGGTCTAAAAGGAGGGTCAGAGACAGCAGGGCCTGTGGTTGTACTTGGCTTCCAGAGTGGGGACAGATGACAATACCGGGAATGTCAGGCACAAAGACGGGTGCCACCCATCCCGCTGAGGTGGGTGAGTGTATCATAGCTCGGCACATTTTCTTTCCTGAGCGCCTGTGTGTAGATAACCCCTGCCCACATGCAAATCTTAGTTCATTAAAAATCACAGGAGAGTGTTAGTTTCTGTTTCAAACTCGCCACTCCCATTTTGGGGAAGATGGCAGGCGAAACCACAAATCAAACTTGTCAGGGTTCAAACTTGGACTAAATTAGTCCTGGACTCTATCTTCTCAAAGTCTGTCAGCTCCTTCAATCTGGAAACAAGTTGGCTGACTGTGGTCATTGTCTCGGCGGCTCGCAAATATTCTGGTGTTCTCTCAGGAACATGACTCTACTGCCTTTGCCCTTTGAAGCTAAGCGTGGCCACATGATTTCTCTGGCCAACCTAACGTGGATGGGAGTGACAGGTCACTTCTGGTGAGAGCTTTAAGAGCAGGCAGTTCCCCACATTCCTCTTCCCTGGCTGTGGTCATCCTGGAAGCACGGTCACTCCCTGAGTGACTATACATACTGGCTGTGCAGCACGACAGAGACATCAATCTCTTAAATCAGGCCACTGAGATTTGGGGATGGTTTCTTATGCAGCACAGCCTAGTCCATCCTGACTAATTCACCAGCTCACAGCTGTGAGGTCCTTAAGTTGAAAGTGATCTCGCTTGAATCAGACACTCAAGTATTTCATTGCACAAAGATAGCTATACAATAATAGCCACTCCCATTGAGCATCTTCTGTGGACCACTGGCTTTGCAATCACCACCTCTGTTTCTTAAGAGAATCCTTTTTCCAGTGGAGAAAAGTCAAAAGCTTTCCCAGGGTCCAGAGCTCGTGAGCACTAGAGCTGAGATTCAGGGCAGCGAGCCTGTTATTCTAAGGCTCCTGTCCATTCTGCGCCACCCTGCAGTCTTTGTCTGGAGTCCCGAGGCCCAAGTCTGGCTCTCAGGCCAGGGTCCTGTCTGAGGCTTCCATCAGAAACAGGAGCCTTCCAGGTATTTGCAGGGGCTGGGCAGCCAGGGCGCCACACCTCGGGGCAGCATGCTGCCGGCAGAAAGGCTCAACCAGCCGCTCAGCAGGTGGACTCAGTGCCGTGGGTAAAGGGCTTCCACCGTGGGCCGGTGGAGACCTTACCCAAAGGCACAGCACCAGCAGTATTCACTACAGACTCGAACCATAACACCCACGGAGTGCGATCATTTCTCTAGTGTATATAACGCTTTGGTGATTACTGAAATACAAATTCATTTAAAGGCATTATTGCATTCCTAGCAGTTTCTATCATCATCTATTTTCTCAATCAACAGATACTTAAACGTATAATGAGTATTGCAGGGGAACTCATAGGGAAAAATTATGTTGAAAAATGGGTCCTAGTTGAAAAGGTTAGGAGAGATGCTGTTGGCTGAGATGGCGGTGGTGGGAGGGGCCTGGGAAGGGGTGTGAGTGGGGAGAGATGTTGGCTGGGCCTGGGGGAGCTCGAGGAAGGCCTGTTTGGGGTATGTGTGCAGGGTAAGGAAGAGGGAGGGCTGTGTGGGGAGGAAGAGGAAGGACACCACATGGGCCTGGTCCAGCTTCAAGCCTTCCACACTGTGCTGCGGCCATTGGCATGGAGGGGACAGAGGGGGCCTCTGGCCACCTGACTGGAAGTGTCTGTGTGGTTCCGGCTCAGTATAGGAAGGAGGCAGTTGCCTGAGATCACTGGGGTGTAGAAGCCTTCAGGACCACATCCCAATAAATCCAGGGGAGGGGGCATTCCAAGGAGGAGATAATTAAGAAACAGCTTGTAGCAAAAGAAGACTGCAATATAAAACGTGTCAAGCTGCAGATTCAAAAGCAGCATGGTTTATAGCCCACCCTCTTGCCTCTGAAGCTCTAACGTACATTCGCAGGCCTCTTGGAGCCAGAGGTTTGGTACAAGTACCATTCAATGTCTTCGCGATGCCCAAGGGAGCATTTTTTAATCTATTAGAGATGAGAGGACCCAAAAACCATTTAAAGCCACTTAGGTCGTAATGGGCAGAATTTTGGTATTTCTCACATGGTGGAGGGTTGTGTATCATCTGGGGCCATCTAGGCTGGGAAAGCACAAGATTATTTTCTGGAGAAAAAAATTACATGTTAAAATCCATTCTAAAAATGACTCAAGGGTTATAGGCCTGTGTGCCCTCCGTCTGCATGGTCCCTGGCCCGGTGGGATCAATATTGGACGCCGGGGGACTTCACACATCACCTCCCCAGCTGTGGCTGAAATATGTGGCTTTGGAGAGCGTCCATTTCCCAGCAAGCCTTGATCCCCAGAATCACAGAGCAATACTTCATATTCCTCAGTTGCTGCAACTTATTTCGAGGCTGATTTTATCCTTTGAAAGAAGATTTTTTTTCCTCTCCTTTTCTCTTAACATTTAAAATCTCCCAATGTTCCTCCAGCTTGAGGAGCAAATGTGATTTTAATACAGCAATTATTAGTTTAGAAGCCCTTCAGCCACTGACAAATGTCCTTAGCAGCACCAGCCATGTTCTGAGCACGCTGTCAGGGCAGGAGACGCATGAGGCAAAGATGACTCAAGAAGCCGAGATGTTGGAAGGGCCGCTCTGGCGGAGGCAGAGGCTGGAGGGCTTCTCCCTTCCCAGGCCCTAACACATCCTGACCTTGGGTCCTCAGCCCCCTGGACGTGGCCAGTAACAGCTGTACCAGTCCCTCCAAGGCTTGTCCCCATGAAGCTGCAGCCAGGATCTTGGCTATTGCTAAACACTCTGCCCAGTACGTTTCCCAACCTCTGACACCCTACGCCACACCTCCCCACCTTGCTCTAAGTAATATGACCAACCACCTGCCTTGTGGAAGAGATAGGTTTAGCCCGTGGTTAGCATGGCAACTTTATGGCTGCGAGAAGAAACAGCTTTTAAGATCAAAACATAATAATAGGGTGGAGGAAGTGTGTGTGAGTGTGTAGATGAGTGTGTGAGCATGTGTGTGAGCATGTGGTTATGGTCTTTCAGGCCACAGAGCTAAATTGGCCAACTGAAGAGGAGGCCTCTTGGGAAGCCTGCCAGCGAGCCTTCCCCCAGCAGAGGGCAGCAGCCAACGTGCAGAACCGCTCAGAGGAGTCACTGGCCAGAACTCTACAGCCAGCCAATACCTCCTGGCCTAGCGACCTGGGGACACATTCCTGAACCACCCTGGGTTTGCCAGGTCTGTCCTCAGAGAGCTCAGACAGCAACGAAATGTCCCTGCCTTTCCAGACGGCTGTTTTTAAAGAGCTCAGAAGTTATCATCAAGGTTGCTGCCCTTATGTTCCCTTCTTGCCCGCCCCCCCCTGGTTTTTCTAAAGGTTGGCTGCGGGGAGCTTCCTGCCCTGGATGAAGCACATTCTGAGGAGTGGGGTGCCTGGCTCAATTCATGGGGACGGACCCCCAAACCAGGGACAGGGCTTGTCGGGGAGGAGCTGGGGTGAGGGCAGTGGAGACACAGTTGAGCAGAGTGGAATGTGGTCTTCAGCATCTCCACTCAACAGGTCCCTCTGGGGCAGGCGGACCCCAAGGTCCCTTCAGCTGCCTCTGGGCCAGCCCAGCTGAAGGAGGAAGAGTAACTAGCATGAGGGAAGGGCTGCCAATGTGGCACTGGGTGTGCGGACCCCTTGCCTCACTTCCTGTGCCCACCTCCCTGCCTCCCCACCCCAGCCAATGCCCCAAACAACCTGATGCATCAGTGCTCAGTGCTGTAAAGTTGATTGCTGTTCCTGTGGCTGCTGGTCAACCGACAACAACCATCTGGATTTCTGCCTGGGAAGGATTGATTCATGTGCCCTGCTCAGAGCAGGAGAAAGCTGGGGAAAGCTGCTGGCCATGGAGTGGGCCCAGCCTGGCCTGCCGCCCCCAGGATGCCCAGGGGCCACAGCCCCTTTGCAGAGGAGTTTCTGGGATCCTTGATAAGGAACTGGCTCTCAGGAAGCACGGTGATGCAGGGGAGACCAGGAGACCTAGTTCTGCCCCAGACGCCCGTCCTTTCCTCTCCAGGCCTTAGTTTCTCTATCTGTCCTGAGAGCTGTCTGACCCAGCCACGTGCTTACCCTCCTATGGGACAATTCACGTCAATGTGGTGGGAAAACCAGGGGTGGGGAGTGGTTGGCAGAGACGCGTCCAGATTGAGAGACTTAGAAGACGTACTGACCCAACGCACGTCGGTTGGTCTAAACAAAGCATTAAAAAACATTTAGGGGGCAATTTGAATATGGACTGGATATAGACATTCTTAAGGACTCATTAATTTTTTTAGTGGGATAATGACATTGGGGTTATATAAGAACCTACTCTGGGGAGGAATGCTGGGATGTCTATAAATTACTTCAAAACGTTTTAGCTTTAACGTAGCCGATGAAGCAAATACGGCAAAATGCAAACAACTTAAATCCAGATGCAGGATATGCAAGTGTTCATTATATCATCCCCTCTATTTTTTCCAATAGGCTTCAAGTTTTTCATAGTAAGAAGGTTAAAAATAAACTGGTAGCTTTTCAAAGCTGTAACAGCCCAGGCCCTGTCCCAGGGGGTCTGAATCTCTGGGGAAGGGGCATGGCATTGATGATTTTAGGCCCCTAGAGATCCTGAGGACCATGGCAGGCTCAGGCTTGGGTCTCCGGTTCACTGGAGAGCCTAGGAGAGCTCCTGCGGGGTGGGGGGCAAAGACTCTGCCACTGCCCAGAGCAGGAGGCCCTGGTAGTCACATGCCTCTGATGCCCATGGTCCACCAGCACTCCGTTCCATGGTGGCATCCCACACCCACGCCCTGAGCTGCTGCCCACAGCTCTGATGTCATCCTAGCCCCGTGGCCTCAGCCAGGGGGAAGGGTGGGGCTGCTAGGACAGGACATGCTGGGACAGGACATTCCTGGGCTCGGGCAGTGGTGCCCACTTCTCCCAGGACAGCTGCCTCTGTCAAGGGTTAGGCCCAGTGTGGAGTGAGACTCATTGGCTCTAAGCCCTGCTCCTGCCCCACGGCTTCCTCTGCAGTCCCAGCTCAGCCCGGCACCCCCAGCTCCTTGCCTTCCTACAGGGGCTGCAGGAAGGGGAGGGTTGGCATTACCGCAGGGGAAGGGGGAGAGGGATGGGACGGAAGCAAAGGACAGGATTTCTGTGCTGCTGAGCTGTTGCAGCTTGTTCCCCGTAAACACACAGGTGTGCGCAGATGTACAAACAGACACGCAGACGCACCGGCACCTCTGCAGCGTGGATCCTTTGTCAGCCCTGCATAGAGACAAGGACCACTCCCTCAGACCGCATGGTCTGAGCAGGCTCTGTGGCCTTTAGACCTTCTTTTCCTTTTGCCTTGCTCAGGCACCACCAAGGGCTCAGCAAGGCCCTCCATCCCTACCCCCAAGGCAGCACTCACCAGCGCCTCCTTCCCGGTGGGGTCGGTGGGGTGGTGGAGAGTGTGTGGAAGAGAGGGTCCAGCAGAAAGCAGTCTTCTCTTTCAGTGCCTACTGACTGCAAAGGCCTTTCCCAGGGTCTCAGTGTGAAGAAGTCACTGTCCACTACAGCACTGGTGAGAGGTCTACCCAGAGGGCCAGGCTACTGCGGCCTGGGGAGGGGAGGTCACCTGACCCTGGGGAAGGGCTGGCAGGGGCTGGGGTGTCCAGCTGTCAGCTGGTATTTCCTGCTCTGGGAGGGGGGAGGAAGAGGAGGAAGAGGAGGCGTGGACTGATAGGAAAGAGAGCTCTGCTCCGCTGCCCGGCTGGGTGTCAGGCCCTGCGTACCAAGGGTCAATTGCCAAGGCCTCTGGTTACTTTTTGATTCTCATCCATGGGGTAAGGCTAGCATGGGGAGCCATGTTCTCCCTTGCCCCTGTCTCCCTGCCTCCACACCATTCCCCACAACCTTGCTGCTGGGTTTTCCTCAAGCTGTGGCCACCTGAGAGAAGGCAAGTCACGCAGCAGGACAGTCATCTAATTAACAGTCAACCAGCTTGAAGACTAGGCTGACTCAGGAAACTGCCAGACCAGTGTCTGTTGTCAGTGGGTGGGTGGATGGGTGGGTGGGGGTGTTCAGCAAGCCAAAGGGAAATTCCAGTATAAGTGTTTGGTGGGAGAACATGGGGCTTAAGGGGCCCCCCTCACCTAATTAGGGGGGAGCAGGGAAGGCATCCTGGAGGAAATGGCCAACAGAGACCTGAGGGAGAAATAGGATCACCTATGTTGGGTTTTGGGGAGGGTATGAGAAGAGTGCTCAGGGAAAGGGGAGAGCACATGCAAAGGCCCAGAGGCAGTGATGGTGGGTGGGGGCAGGGAGGAGGGCTGGTCAGGGAGGCAGAGGCACTCAGACCGGCTGGAGCATGCAAGGAGCAGGGAGTGATGACAGATGAGCCTCCCAGAACTTTCCTTAACTTCTCAGAAGGAACTAAAGCGTTTTATGCCAGGAAGGGCCAGGCTCAGGTTTGTGTTCAGAGCTCTCTCTGCTTTGAGGAGAGCAGATTGGGGAGCAGTGGATCAAAAGCAGGCAGGCAGGTCTGGAGGCCCCAGGTGCCGTTCTCCAGGTGATGCCAGCCTGAGGGGAACAGAGGGCAGTAGGGTGGAAGGGAGGCGGTGAGGAGGCAGCCTTGACTAGGTCTGGTGACATGTGGATGGGGAGAGATGGGTGGAGACAAAGGACAGGTTGCCAGGAGACAGGCTTTGGGTCTGGGTGAGCCTGGACCAAGTGCTAGGAAGGGCTGAAGTCTGCAGTTAGGCAACTCACGCGACCCCAGGCTGCAGTTCCGCGGGGTACTGGGCGCCCCACCTGCCCAAGGCCCAGCCTGTCCCTTCCTGGGCTTCTCTGTGCGTGGGCTCTCGGAGGCTCGGCAGCAGCCTTGGGGCTTGGCCGCCTCTTGTCCCCTGGTCTGTTCCAGCCTCTCTCTGACTCTGGGCCACATCCCCCATGTCCTTTCTTTCCCCAGGGTCTCCTCACCCATCTTCTGGTTCTAACAGGGTCCCCCCAGACCTGTTGCTCCAGCACTGAGATGTACTGCCTTTCCATCTCCCCGCTTTGGCATCCCCACATGTGTCCATGGAGAACTCATTCCATACAGACGGCCTTGCCCCCAGGTTTTGACAGACGGCGACATGGGAAATAAGGCGGGCGAGTACCCCGGTCTCCTGGCTCTTGTCCCAGAGGTCCCTGCAGCCATTGTCCACTCAGTGTTGTCTGCACCCACTCCAGGCCTGGCATCGCACAAAGTGCTCAACAGATGTGCTAGCAGCAATGAACAAGGTATCCTGGAAAGGCCACAGCAAGTCTGGGGGGGCTCCGCACCTGCCAGCCCAGCTGCCCTTCCTGTAGCAGACATCCTTTCCCGTCCTCACCTGCAGTCCTCCCCACACCCAGACAGGGCAGAGCCCTGCAGACATGACAGGAATTCATGGGTGTCCTGGTTTAAAGTGAGGCAAGGATCCCATGCATGGCCCCCCTCTCTCTCCCCAGCCCAGGGTGGGGGATCGCATTTCCCAGGGAAGGCAGCTGGCCAGGCTGCCCTGGGAGCCTCCCTGCCCCATGGGTCCCCCTCACTGTCCAGCCGTATGCTGGGCTCTGGTTACCTGGCCCGAAAAAGAAGGTGTGACCTTTCTCCCCAGCCCTCCCCCACCTCCCCTTTCCCACCTGGCTGGACGCAAATCCTGGTCCTGGGAATCACCTCAGGGCTGAGCCCGGAGGCCCTTAGGGGTGCGGGGGGCGAGGGGGGGGGATCGCCCACCGGAGCCCGATGGCCAGTGAACAGCTGAGCCGGGGGAACCAGGGCTTTGGGAGGGTCAAGTCCACATTCCAGCACCTGCTTTCTGTTTTTGTTGTGTTGTTGTTGTCAAGAACAAAGTTTTACCACTGACTTCTTATTCATCCATTTATTTAACAACAGTTTTGAGCCCCTAATATGTGACCGGAGACACAGGGCAGTAAGTAAAACACACAGGTCCTGCTGCCTCGTACGTCGTAGCCAGAGATCAGGTGTTTTCTGTTATGAAATCAAACAGGCGGCTTTATTTCTGTTTCCCAACTGTGGCCAGGTTCTCTCCGTGGTCATTTCCCGAAGTTCAGCTTTGCCTGCGAGATGCCTGCTGCTAAGCCTCTTTCCACAGCCGTGTCAGCGACCCATCTCTGCCCGTGACAACACCTGGCCCACCCTCTGGGCCTAGCTCCTGCCCTTCTCCAGGAAATCAGCCCTGACCAGCTTGGCTCTTCTGCGGCCAGAGCACTCCAGGCCAGCTCTTACATGCCACCATTTGGAGGCAGAAAATGCCTGGGGCTCATAAGCACACACCAGCTATTTGGGGGAAAGGGGTGGGCTAGTCCCTCCCTTCTCCTCTCCCACCCCGGCCTGAAGGACCGTTTAGGACCTTCCCTTTCACTGCTGCCTGCCCTGGCAGGTCATCCGTCACCACACCCATCCTGCTGATTTCACGTCCCAAACTGGACCCCTTTGCTCTGTCTCCACAGCCACTACCCTGGCCCTCCACCATCTCCTTAACCAATGACTTCCCTGGTGTCCTCCCTTCTCCTCACACCCCCATTCCTACCATCCATTCCCCCTGGAGTGATGTTTCAAAACAATTTGGGTCATGTTACTTACTTGCTTAATACTCTTCAGTGGCTCCCTGTCCTTAATACAATCCAAAGCCCTCCCCAGGGCCCAGCCCTGCCCACCTCCCCGGCCCCATCACACAGGATGTCACGGCCCCATCACCCTGGCCTCCATGGTTCAGCCACACCTTGTGCCGGGTCCTTGCACTTGCTGTCCCTTCTGCCTGGGATGTCCTGCCCTTACTTCTACACCTGGCTTATTCCTCTTCACCCTTCAGATGCCAGCTCAAGCATCACCTCCTCCAAGAAGCCCTTCCTGACCTCTCTGACATGGTCTGCCACCCAGTACCTTTCTTTAGAAGCACTTATCCCAGATGTAGTTGCACTTATACGATTATTTGCTCCTTGCATGATTCCCTTCCTCGATGGTGACTTGGCTTATTTTGCTCTACACTGTGTCCCCAGCATGTAGCACAGCACCAGCCTCCCAGCACATGTTAGGTGAATGAATTAATGAATGAATGAATGTGTAAACTCATTCTTGGTCTCTGGCTTCCCCTTCCATCCTCTCGATGTTGTGGCTTTCACAACAGGAGGTGTACAGAGGAGCCAACCAGGAGCCACCCACAGCTGGTGCCTGGGGGTTTTCTTCCCTCTTCCCAGCCCCTGCCTGGCATGGAGGCCTTGGCCTGATTACGTGGTTCTGTGAAATCCTTCCTTAGCAGCTCTTCCACCCCGCCCCCACCACCCAGCTGCCCTCATGACCCAGTTTTCCCGCTCTAGAGACAACAACAACACTTCATGTTCCAGGACATGTCTTCACCCCCTTCTCTTGGTGTAAATGTCACGGCTGCCACAATGCTGCCACGATGCTGCTGGCCTGCCCAGGTTCCAGCAAAAGCCCCTCCTCTCCTGTGCTGGGCCGCTGCTTGCTGCGCCCCTGTTGGCATACCACCCTCCCCTTCTTTCTCTTCTTCCCCCTCCCTGGCCATGTGGGGGCCTCCGAGACAAATCTAAAGACTGCCCCATCCATGGCCCTCTCCCCTCGGAGCGAGGAACCCCACCTTACAGGCCTGGACGGTGACGCTCAGAAGGAAAGCCCAGTCAGTCTTGTGGTTTCCTCACAGTCCTCTCTGTCTCCCCCCTTTCCTGCTTGTTTGTTATTTCCTCTGCTGTCTTGGCTTTTTCTGTCTCTGGCTTTTGTTTTCCTTCTCTCACATCCTCATGTTACCTTTTCTGTTTCTGCTGATACTTCCTGTTCTCATTGTGCTGTGGTCAGCCATGTGTGAGTGTGAGTGTGCATGTGTGTGGGTGCAGGTATGCATTCAAGTGTGGGTGTGTCAGTGCCTCAACACCGGGGAGCACGTTGGGCTGAACAGGTGTGTCCTGATTAGTGAGCCTTTGGGAACAGGTGCTCTGGAAAGGGCACATTATGGGATTCTGCGCAAAGGCTTGGGCACTGAGGGACCTCACACGGGCCCTGCACGCCTGAAACTGACTCCCAGAGCAAGGTCCCAGACATGGAGCCCCTTGGCTTCCTTCGTGGTTGATGCACTGATCTCACTCACCTGCCTCCCCAGTTCCCCCTGAACCGTCCACAGCCACCCTAGATGGAGGTGCTCTGGGCCCCCTAAGGGTCAGTCAACTCCTCCATCATCTGCCATCCCTTCCCTAGAAAGCCCAGGATGGAGTACATGCAGAGGGAGGCTGCTGTCCAGCCCCTCACAGTCCGAGGAGTCTCGAAGCATGGTGGCTGGCGGTTCCTTCTGAATCGTGTCCATGCCAGCCTGACCCGTCCCCGAGTTCCTGACCCCACCTGGGAACTTCCAGCCTGGATCCCATCCAGTCTTCTGCTCCAGAACCTGACTGGGCCCCTGTTGGGCTCCCCCTGGCGGAGGAGGGGACCCAGCCCATGGCAGCCATTCCCCACGCCTGGGCCTTCACCTGCCCCAGGGAACCCAGGAATCTGAGGAGACTGCACAGCAGGGGTAGGTGTTAAACCATCTGTAAGTCAGCTGGGCTACCTTGACTCTGAAGCTACAGGATGTCATCAGCCAGTGCT